ACACAATTCTTATATAAATTTTCAATATTTAAAACCAAATTGTTTAATCCAAATAAAGACAAATATTTAAATAAACATTTAGTCTATGTTTTTAGACGGAAAGTTGGAAAGATGACAAATTTTCTCTGTCTTTGTAAAGCCATCAAATGGTTAGGCGAAAACAACATTGTTCAAGATTGATGAAAATAAAAGTCAGGTTATTGATTTTGATCCTAAACTTTAAAAATCAAAAGTTTAAAATATTTCATGGTAAATAACTTCAAGTTTTGTGTCCCCAACAAAAATTAATGGATGTTAGAATTTATTTTACAATCTGCGGTCCTCTCATCAAATTTAAAAGTAGTATCTCAGTCTTTGTTTATGATTTTTACTACCACTACTACTAGTCGCAAAGTTGACGCGTGAACTCTCGCGATATCTCGTAAAATCACGCATGACGTTCTCTTTTCAGGGTTTATCAAAAAATGACAACTAAATAAATTATTTTAGTCGAAAACCCTGATATGAAAGGCGGCGAGTGACGTACATTATTGCAAGGAAAGTTAGGCCATTTTTTAAATTGATTTTGTCCATACTTTGACATTAGGCTATAACTTTAGTTTTAAACGCTTTGTCAGTGGTCTCCATTATAGCCCGCATTATTATGTTTTTGTTCCAGGCGTTACGTTAAATGGTATTAAACTAGCATCTTTTATTTAACATTCATGTATTTTAATTGTAAGCTTGCTGATAATTGGGAGTATTTTCTGAACGAATTTCCCCAGTTCTGTTTGAGTGATATTAGCACCCTCTGCTGGACAGATTTAATAACTGCAACGGAACCAGAACACTTCAAACTGATCTGAGATCAGGCCCAGGACGACACGTTTGTTTCGTGGTCCACTCTGATTGGTCCAGGCACACCGTCTTGTTGACCAATCACAGGCAGACATCTGTTCGCCGGAGCCACTCTAAAATATCACGGTGTCTTCCTTCTCCTCGGCGCATTTGATTTCTGGCCAAAGTGCGGGCAACTCTTAGCTGCAGAAACCACAGCTGAAAATGAGGAAAATGCAGGTTTTATGTTTAGCTGTGGTGGTATTAACAGCGTACTGCGTGAACGCGACGATTTATTTTCGGGAGGAGTTTCTTGACGGTGGTAAGTCTGATAAATGGTGCGAATGGGGCCATCGTTCAGATGTGCTAGCTTACTTTTTTATTTAATTATATATTTTTGGGTAAAAATGCTTCTATTCGATTAGTCTCTCAAACGGTTTTAGTAGTTTTAGTTAGACGACAAAGCAAGCATTTCTCTTCAGTAATATTGTGACTCAAGCTGCAACTAAAACTAATTTTTAGTCTTTAAAGTTACATTTGGTGGGTTTTATCATACAGGGATAATAAATTTAAAGTGTCCCAAGTGATGATCAGCTTTTTTACTGGTTGTACTTTGTATTCCAGATGAATGGAGAAGTCGCTGGGTGAATTCAAAGCACAAGTCAGATTATGGGGAGTGGAAATTGACTGCTGGAAACTTCTATGGAGATGCTGAGAAAGACAAAGGTAAGTTTTAAGATAATTCTTATCTATTCATATATTTCAGGTGGAATCTATTTTAACACTGCAAATGACATTTGACTTGTTCAACCTTGGGATAAAGTGAAACAGAAACTCGACATCTACATCCTTATTCTGCAACTGTTTGCTGATCTGGTCACAAAATAAGTCGCCACCCTCAAAGCTTAGCTGCAGAAATCTCTTGGAACAATCCAAAATGGATCGTATGTCAGTTTTGCCACCAAGGTAATCTGTTTTGTGTTTTTCTTTACTCTTTGTTTTCTCCAGGTCTGCAGACGAGTCAAGACGCTCGCTTCTACGCCACCTCTGCCCGCTTTGAGCCATTCAGCAATGAGGGGAAGTCCCTGGTCATCCAGTTTACAGTCAAGCACGAACAGAAGATCGACTGCGGCGGCGGCTACGTGAAGGTCTTCCCCGCCGACTTGGATCAGACCGCCATGCACGGAGATTCTACATACTACATCATGTTTGGTAAAAGAATTAAAAAAAAAACCTTCAACTACTGGTTAATGTATAAAATTGTATTTATAACAAAATAACGTTTGCCCAGGCCCTGACATCTGTGGCTACAGCACCAAGAAGGTCCACGTCATCTTTAACTATAAGGGCAAGAATCACCTCATCAAGAAAGAAATTAAATGCAAGGTAATTAAAGATTTCCTATTCTAACGTCACGTATTGCGCAAGAAGTGAACATCTAACCGTTTGTTGTTTTTCCTCCCAGGATGATGAACTGACCCACCTGTACACGCTGATCCTGAATCCAGATCAGACCTATGAGGTGAAGATTGACAATGAGAAGGTCGAGTCTGGCAGTCTGGAGGAGGACTGGGACTTCCTGCCTCCTAAGAAAATTAAAGACCCCGAAGCCAAGAAGCCAGAGGACTGGGATGACCGCCCTAAGATCGACGACGCTGATGACACCAAGCCTGAGGTGAATAAGCTTGGTGAACAAAATCTGCTGTCGAGTCAAAGTGACCTCACGGCTGACTTTAAATATAATGATGTTGTTTTTTTTTTTAAGGATTGGGACAAACCTGAAAACATTCCAGATCCTGATGCCAAAAAACCTGAAGATTGGGATGAAGATATGGATGGAGAATGGGAGCCACCGGTGATCCCCAACCCAGAATACAAAGTAAGCAGTTTCAGATTTCAGTGTTCTCCTGCTAATGCCAGTTTTTTATTTTAGCCTAATGAATATGTTCTGCATCACAGGGAGAATGGAAACCCAAGCAGATCGACAACCCCAACTACAAAGGAGCCTGGGTGCATCCTGAAATCGACAACCCTGAGTACTCCCCTGATTCTAACATCTACAAGTTTGATAACATCGGTGTGATCGGTCTCGATCTTTGGCAGGTGAGGAGGAGGAGGAGGATCACCTGTGGGTCGATGTTTGAGTTGCACAGGTCAAGCAGCAGTGTAACTTCTTGAAACCTGTTTTCCAGGTGAAGTCTGGCACAATCTTTGACAACTTCCTGATCACGGATGACGCGAAGGAAGCGGAAGAAGTTGGAAAGGAGACATGGGGCGTGACAAAGGTATGCTACTGCCCCTTTTTTTTTTTCTTCACAGAACTGATCAGAAACAGGCAGGGCAGGTCTTCCTGCTGCATCTCCACTTAAAAAGACCACACAGATCGTTTCCAACTAATAAGTGAAATAAATCAACACAAGAAAAACTGAAGAGGAAGATGAAACTAACTCAGGAAAACGGAACGTAAACAAAGTATTAGGACTAATATTAAAGTGAAGGGCTACACATGAGTTCATTTATTATTGCACAAATTTGTTTTTATGTGGTTATAGGATCTAAATCTAACAGTATTTTCAGCTTTTTCAGTGTTTAAACAAGTAAAATGAAAAGATTAAACATTTTAAGCTGTCAGTGAAATAAATAGGTGATCATCCAAAACGTGTGGCGTTTTGGTGGAAACAGGCCTTATTTGCCATTTTAAACAAAAATAAAAGTTTAAAAGCTTTTGATATTTTCTAAAGTTTTGTGTTTTGAGTGTCCTTTTTTTTTAAACTTCCTCCACAGGAACCAGAGAAGAAAATGAAAGAAGAGCAGGATGACAAAAAGCGAAAAGAAGAGGAGGAGAAGGCAAAAGAACAAGCAACTGAGACAGAAGAAGATGAAGACGACGACGATGACGAAGACGAGAAGGAGGATGAGGAAGAGGAAGACACAAAGGATGAGCCGGAGGAAACGATTTCAGAAAGTGACGATTCGGTACTTAAAGACGAGCTTTGAGAAAATGTAGCTAAAAGAGAAAAAAGCGTTATGATGTCCCTTCCACAGAGACTGTCCTGTAAATCTCGGGGACATTGACTGCTGTGCATCCTTTCCCAGAGATACAGACAAAACCCGGCTTTGAGGTCTGAAGTAGAAAATTGGGTTGAGTGGGGTGTTTAATGGACTTGGTCTCTCTCTCTCTTTTTTTTTTTTTTTTTTGTCATCTTACCCCGTAGGTTCTGTGGGTTGTCTTTCATTCTGTGTTTTGACCAACATCCATTCTTCTTTTTGCAGTGACACAATGGGTTGAATAAAATCACATTTAGACTTTCACAGTCTAAGTTTAAAAATAAATAATAAAAAAAAATAGGTCGGAAATGGAGACTGAGGCGTTGTAATTTATTTTGGTTATTTCTGCAGCACTGACTTTAACTTTTCTTTCCTCATTCTTGTCGGCATAATTGAATGAAATGTGAAGCTAAAAATGGAGTCCTGATACAAATCTATTTGCCACTAATTGTAACACAACTCATGTTTCATGATAATATGCTGGGATTTGCAGTGAATTCTGGAGGAACAGACGGCGACGCGCTGGTGTAACTCACGCAAGGGTTACAAATTTTTACTCCACAGAATGTTATTCATGCCAAAGTTTTTATTAAAAGATGATTACCTTATTGTCTGGTGTTTTTGTTGCTACACAGTTTCACAGTTCGCACTTGAAAATTACCTAATTCCTTGTTCATACATTCGAAAATGTCAAGTTTCATTTTTAAGTTTCTAAAAGTTTCCATATCAAGGTTTGTGGTAAATCCTTATTTAAAGGGCCTTATGCACGTTCTATTGCAGAATTGTCAGCATATATTCTCAATACCGTACATTAGTTTGTGATCCAATTCTTTGAGTTACTAAAAAGTGGTTGAAAGTTGTGAATATTCAGTTTAGTGAGCCTTCAAATCAAATAAAAATACAATTTGCATTATATGGTATTTTAGAGACTTATAGGGCAATCCAACTGAATTGCTCAGGGGCCAGAAATCCAGCATTTAAATCGATACAATCATCTTAAATTTGTTTTTCTGATTTAAAATCTAATTTGAAGAACATTCAAAAAGGACCAAGTGTTTTCACTTTATGGTGTTATTGAAATATAATATGTATTTGTATGTGCATTATTTATACTAAATATATTTAAGTAAGCAGGATTGCCACTCTGACTGAATTTTTTGTCGTTCAATTAATAAAAAAAAAAGTCTTAAACTTATCAGCGGGCCGGAAGTTGAATGGGCCGTTCTCTCCATGACGTAGCGCTTTTTTTCTGGCAGGGGCGCTTTTTTCGGCACAACACCGTTCTGGGCGTGAACGTCGTGCGCGCTCACGACACACCAGGAAATATGGCGGCGCTCATGACGCTCAGTCAGGTAAGAAAAGTCCGAAATGTGAATGTCTGTGGATATTAAAATATTATTGACATTGGTTGCGTGTTGTTATTACCACAACACGACGTTACAAGCCGAGTTTTAATGTTGGCCAGAAGAAACCGAATTATAAAGTTTTCGTCGGCTGCCGAGATAACATGATTAGCCAGCAGGTTAAAGTTGTGATGGAAGAGTTTGACGTTGGTTAAATGAGAAAAATATAGTGACAGCATAAACCAAAGCTAAGGAGTTAATTCTGTTTAAAAAACAAAAACTAATTAAATGGAAGTTAAAACTAAACAAATGCTGATTTAATAAACTGTTGACACACAAAAAACTATTTTAGGCTAATGCATGATAAGAGTGTGCTAACTAGCTAGTTTGTACCTTGCTAACATTTTATGCGCTATAATAGCTAAAAAGAAATGTTTAATTTGTTTTTCTTCTGTTTTTTTTTTTTTCTTCTGTATAGCTATCAAGTGGAAATGCAGCTTATGAAACTTATTACAGACGGGTAAGTGTGACTTCAATGTGTTTGTTTACTGAACATGATCATGTAAAATTGAATAGTTTTGATTTTTTTTAAATGTTTTTATATTGTAGCTTGATCCCGGGAACACAGGCAAAATCTCAGCCGGCGATGCAGCTCCGTTTCTTAAAAAGTCTGGATTATCAGACAGTACACTTGGGAAAGTGAGTCACAAACTTACCTATAAGCAAATCACACTTGTGTATTTAGTCAGTACCAAAATAAACTTATTTTGGTTTATTTACCCTTCCAGATTTGGGATTTGGCAGATTCTGATAGAAAAGGATATTTGGATAAGCGGGTAAGAAATTCTTGGTAATGTTGCTGTGTGTGGGAGATGCTGATGTTTGCATTAAACATCACACTCATTCTTCCTTTTTTTTTCTTTTCCACTTTCGTAGGGATTTTTCATTGCTCTGAGACTGGTGGCGACAGCACAGGGTGGAAATGATATCAGCCTCAATAACCTAAACCAAACCGCCCCTGCACCCAAATTTGTAAGCATTAAAATGTATTTTCTTACAAATTAATGACTTTTTTATTGTAGTAAAAAAAATGATGAAATGAAAAAATACATGTGTAAACAGACATTTAGTGACCGTTACAGAATAGCGGCAGCTGTTTCTGTTTCTTTTACCGCATCTATTTTTTTTATTTTTTTTTTCCACAGAGAGACACTGACAGCCCATTATTAAGTGTGTCAGCACCAGCATCTGACTCTCAGTGGGCAATTAAAGTGAGTCAGAACAGAGTTTTAAAAATATCCTCTTGCTTATTAAAGATTAAAGCTTGTTATTTCATACTTTTTTCATTTTTTTTCTCAGCCTGATGAAAAAGGGAAGTTTGAGGGAATATTTGAAAGTCTGTCCCCCGTGAAAGGTCTTCTCTCTGGTGAGAAAGTCCGACCGGTTTTGATAAACTCCAAGCTACCTTTGGATGTGTTAGGAAAGGTGAGTAATATGAAGGACTGTTTTTTTTTATCCTGTTATTTTTAAATATTAAGCTTATTTTTTTTTTGTAGATTTGGGACTTAAGTGATGTGGACAAAGATGGACACCTGGACAAAGAGGAATTTACAGTGGTAAGCAGTGGAGTTTTTTGCACCTTTTACAGGGTCTTGATTATTGTTTTAACCTATTGATATTTTTAAAATCTAGAGAAAATGCATATGTGTTTGATAGTTATAATAATAGCTGATGCTTATCATTTTCCAGGCCATGCATCTTGTGTATCGTGCCATGGAAAAGGAACCTGTCCCGAGCAGTTTACCGTCTTCTCTGATCCCACCTTCTAAAAGGAGGAAATCTGCGCCTACGCTTCCTGGTGCAGTGGCTGTGCTGCCTGCTTTGTCCGGTCTGTCGTCCAGCCCGGTTCCTCTCAGAGACTCCCTGCGAAGCACTCCTCCTCTTGGGAGTTCTGCTCTAGGGAGCACAAGCCCCCTCAGCTCCAGCGCTATCAACCTTTCCCCAAAACACTCCTTTAAATCCAGCTCAGCGGTATGTCCTTTTACATACATTTTCTTCAAATATGAATGTAATCGTTATTATATTTATTAGTTAAGCCATAGTTAATCAAAAGTACATTATTTAAGTTATTATTACTAGTAGTATTACTACTATTATTTAAGTATTATTATTATTACTAATGTAATTGCCACATTATTTTACGTATACAATCAGCATCTATCTCTTAATTTATGTAAACAAAGAATAGACTAAAGAGATTTATTTAACTGAAATTGAGAAGAAAAAAAAAGATTTACTAAGATTTATTGGATTGTTTCATAGAGCTGTTTTTTTCTGTATTAAAATCCTATAGTTTTATTTTAATTAGAGGAAAAAAAAACGCTAAGAAAAAAAAAATGTTGTTGAAAAATCATCTCATTTATGTTCCTTGGTCCTTCCTAGCTAAGTGTCTTAAGGACTGAGTGAGTTTTGGTGAGACTAATGACTCGCGTATTAACTGTTACTAATGGCAGGACTTGTTTAGCGACATTGTTCCGTGCATTGTGTGAGGGCCAGCTTGTTTCTCCTTTCCTTGATACAGCTGCTGGGATTTTTCAGCCGTGACTTTGTAGAGAAACAAGTTTCCTTGAAAGGGAACACAAACGCATGATCGTGTTACCATAATAGTTAGAACCCATAATGTTGCTTTATTTCTATTGTACTTTTTTTTTTGTACCCTCCAGCCAGCGGTGAATTGGGTGGTACCGGTGGCTGACAGAGAGAAATATAACGATCTTTTCAAGAAGACTGATGTCAGCAAAAATGGCTTCATTACAGGAACTGACATCATAGAGATCTTCATGCAGTCCAACCTCTCTCAGACAATGCTGGCTCAGATATGGTGAGGCGGCCGTTCAGTAACGTTTCATACAGAGTTGTTGCAACACTTTACATATTGTAAATAAGCTCCACAACAAATGTGCGAGTTAGGTTAAATGGTAACTCTAAATTGTTCCCAAGTGTGAGTGAGAGTGTGAACGGTTGTTTGTTGTTATGTGGTCTTGGACAGGCTGTCAACCTGTCCAGGGTGTACCAAGCGTCTTGCACAGTGACTGCTGGAAATTGACACCGGTTTCCTGCAAGAAGATAAAAAGGATGAATGGACGGACAATGGACCAGAGCAAAAAAAAAAAAAAAACACTTCTGAACTAGTTTCAAGTGTCCCACACCAGAAGTGTGATAGTATATTTTAAAGGGATCCCCGATTAGTTGTAACATTAGACTTTATTTGATAAACATATTTTAACTCTAACATAAAGACTGTAAAAATACTGTAGACTGTTTAGCTTTTATAATTTTTAAACAGAAAGTTTAAAAATGTATTACACGGACGGGGCCATTTTATTTACACACAAAGCATTCTGGGTAAATGATGACGTGGATAGGTCCTCGGTGCGAGGCTGCTAGCGAGCTATATCCACCCTGAAGGTTAATCTTGGACAATATCTGATGATCGACTCTTTTAAATGAAACCAGAGAGCGTTGACAGAGAGGAGAAGGTAGAAATGACTCAGCCTGTAAATGAAAATATGGATGGAGGACAACAGAGCTGCTTCATGGAAGAAGAACCTCAGCTTAGCCTGTTAGCTTTAGCATTAGCCCCGACGCTATCACCATATATATGTATTAGCTCATTGCTACACATTCTCCTCTCGTCACTGAGGTCCTCCATCCACATGACAAAGAGGGGAACGCAAAAATGACTCAGCCTGTAACTGAAAATATGGATGGAGGACCTCAGTTTAGCTTGTTAGTTTGTCGCTCTAGCACCGAGCTAATACGTACAGTATAAGGCAATACAGTGTTGGTGCTAACCCTAAAGCCAACAGGCTGAGCTGAGGTTCTTCTTCCATGAAGCAGCTCTGTTGTCCTCCATCCATATTTTCAGTTCCAGGCTGAGTCATTTCTACCTTCTCCTCTCTGTCAACGCTCTCTGGTTTCATTTAAAAGAGCCGATCATCAGATATTGTCCAAGATTAACCTTCAAGGTGGATATAGCTCGCTCACGCCGAGGACCTATCCACGTCATCATTTACCCAGAATGCTTTGTGTGTAAATAAAATGGCTCCATCCATGTTAAAATAGATTTTTAAAATTTTACAAAACTAAACAGCCTATAGTATTTTTAGTCTTTTATTTTACAGTTAAAATAAGTATAAATAAAGTTTAATGTTACCACTAATCAGGGATCCCTTTAACTTTTTCCTTTTAAATGATTCCTTTTCTCCATAGGGGTCTTGCTGACACAAAACAGACGGGCAAGCTGAACCAGGAACAGTTTGCTCTGGCCATGCATTTCATCCAGCAGAAGGTGAACAAAGGCATAGACCCTCCCTCTACCCTCGCTCCAGACATGATCCCCCCATCAGAAAGGACTTCAGCTTCGAGCACTGTGAGTCCTGACTCCCGTCTTCCAACAACTCTCTTTCCTAAATGAAACTCCTTTTCTTGTCAGTAAAATGTGCCACCTGCATCTGAACGCTGAAGTCTTTATTTCTCTGCAGCTACTTGCATTTAAAAGGGGAAGATTTTCTTTCCTGCTCTCTCGCCTTCCTGTGCAAAACACTTCATGCTTTTGTTCTTTGAGCCTTTTTCTATCCTGTCTACCAGAGTTATTTGGGGCTTCTTTTTTCTGTGAGACCAGACCTCGCTTCAACGGCTAATGTGTGCAGAGTGAGTAGTGAAAACTGAAGTCACAAGGTGGCGCCATTGTTCCGTCTTATTCTCTGTTTCGGTTTGATGCACATCTGTGCCAGCTGCCACCTGTTACACCAACTCATGTTACTCTAGCTCTGGGAAGTTTGTTTAAAGCATGTTTTGTTTTGCTTTTTTGTTTTTGCAAAATTAGTAGTCATTTGCTTCAACAAATATATATATACAAATTGGCAAACTGGTAAAAGTGCCGCCCAACCATTGATGATTAAAATGGGAACATATTTACCCTTTGGAGGCGAAATGCATGATAATTAAAAACAAAGATTTGGCTGAAGCAAAAAATAAATAAATAAATAAATAAATAAATAAATAAATAAATAAATATGGAAGCTAGTTCTTTCAAAATAAGAGGCTTGTATTTTTCTTTTGCTTGAAGACAAATGCCTAAATGTCATAACTTACATAAGCATTTATTACCATAAAGTTGTCATTATTGAATACATTTTGTTAACCAAGACTACTAAAGAAAATGAAACACAATTAAAAAAATAATATAATTTGGTAGTGCTTATACAAACTATCCTATCAGGTTTTTCTGCTTGTTTAAAATAAAAAATACATTTAGGATGGCTTCCTTGAGTTGTCCAGGGTCCTTATTTTTTCTGAGACCTTTGTACACCGATCCTAAAAAGCAGATTATAACATAGTGCAAAATTAGTTTGTATTGTCTTGTCTGTTTGCATTTCTTGTCATTCATGCATTGTCTGCCTCTCGAGCTCACTCAGCTGCGTGATGTGTTTGAGTTTCCTTCCTTTGACTTTTGTTGTCTTAGAAACAAACAGCAGGGAGCTCAGTTCTTCCCTTGCATTCCACTCATGTCCCTTCTGGAATTGTTCTCTGTCCATATGCGTATTAAAACATATCTCTCATCCTTTTAGTTGCGTTAATTTTGCTCATCGCTCCTGAATTATTAATATCGTAGTTTCTGCTTGCATTTCTAAGCCGTCCCTCTTTTTTTTTTCTTAAAAAATTTGCCCCCCTTTCTCACGCATTTTGTCTCACATCTCTCGCCTCAGGACAGCGCCAGCTCCGTTGGGCCCGTAGAGCTGACAGGCATCAAAGAGCTAGATGACCTCAGCCAGGAAATAGCTCAGCTGCAGCGGTGAGCGCCTTCACACTGAGTAGCATGAGAATATTTCTCTTATCTCTGAGAGGGAAAAAAAAGGGTGGAGGTTGAAGTGAGGTGATGTTAACAATCAAATCTATTTAACTTTCATACTACAATAGCTCTCACGTTGCCTTAAATGATTTCCAAATGCCTTTTAATAAAAACAAACTGTAATTTCCTCACTTTTTTTTCCTTTTTCACATTTCTTCTTATGTAGGGAGAAGTTTTTCCTGGAGCAAGAGATTAAGCAACAGGAGGAAACAATTAGGCAAAAAAACACAGATGTTCAGGTGAGCTAAAATACACCTTTACAAATGCAGTGAGTCATGAAGTTTATCTGAAACACAGTTTCTGCAGGGTCTTAGTTTTAATTGTTATTTTAGGCTTTAAAGGTCTTATATGTCCAGATTTTCCACTTTAGTAAAGGAGGTCTTAAATTTGAATGGTTCATCAACCTTTTTTTTGTGCTGTAGGCATTCATTCATTCATTATTTCATTCATTCATTCATTCTGTGTCATTTTATTTCTGAGGATTTCAGGTTTTTTTCCGCTGCAACAAAAGTAAAAGGCTCATTATGTGGCAGCCATAATCTGGTTGCTCCGCCCCTAAAATAGTTTGTAGTTTTTGAATGCTGTGAATTAAATTTGAATTTAATTGAAAGGCAATGAAATTTGTTAGGTTTTTTTTCAATAACTCGTATGTGTGTCTTAAATTTGAATTGTAATGATATTTAAAAGCTCTTAAAAAGTCTGAACTTGCAGAATACCTTTTAAAATGCACAATGTTTGTGTGGGGTAAAATAAAAATAAACAATAAGGATGGAAGGAATCGATGCATTCTGTGTGTTTTGGTGGTTCAGGATGCGCAGAGTGACTTGGATAGAGAACAAAACAGTTTGCACAGCCTGGACTCCCAGAAGCAGGATGCCCAGGTATGCCTGGATGAAATGGACCAGCAGCGCTCCAAACTGGAGGGAATGTTGAACGAAGTGAAGCAGAAGTGCCAGGAAGAGAACCAACAGGTTAGAAATGGGACCTATTAAAACAGCTTTTTTTCATTAAAACCAATAAATCAATGCATTTAGCTAAATTTGGGGCTGAAATAGAAATACAAATATTATCTCACTTTAGAGGAACTGTCTTGTTCCTGGCTGGTAGCAGTTTGGGACAAGTGTGATTGTAGTTGAACAGCACTCATCTGGGTTTTGCCTTTTTTATAAAGAAGAATTGTTAATTACAAAAGATAAAGCTTTTGTAGTAAGTGCAAAAAAAAAAACCTCTACTTTTTATTCTGCTCTCCAGATCTCATCGCTGCAGAGCCAGATCCGCTCTAAAGAGACGAACCTCCGCAGCCAGGAAGACGAGGTCGGTCGCACCAAGCTGGACCTGAGTCGGCTGCAGGACGAGGAGTCCCAGCTGGAGCAAAGGTTGCTCTCTGGTCGCGTCCAACTGGACAGCTTAGTCAAGTCACTCAAAACCACCCAGGAGGAAATTACTCAGGTCAGAGCATCAGGGGCCTCGCTCATGAACAATGTGTACTCAGAAAAAGGTTGTGTACGCCATTTTCCTTATATGTGACCCATCACATTGAAATGAGGATTAAGTCCAAAAATGAAATATAGAGAAATAGACAGATATAGGGTTTTGATTTAAACAAGTGCAAAAATCGCGTTTTGTCAAAATATAATGAATTAATGCCTTATCAATGTATTATTTGAATTAACTATCTGAAATATAATCCAAAAAAAATTTTTTTGAAGCATTTTTTCAGCAGTAGCAACAAAAAACCTGATTTTGAGGAAAAATGCCTTTAAATTTTGAAATTTTCCCTGTGAGTTAGCAATGTTTTTATTTCTTTCCAATTGGCAAATCTTAATATACAAATACTATTTGAGGTTTCCTCTTTATATTAACATCAAAAATTACTCAATAAATTTACATGAAATTAGGATTCAGACCGAACAGTAATGTATTATCCTAACCAATAAGACAAATTAAGTCATATCTCTGGATAACTTACGATATCAGAATGATCCAGGTATCAAAATGTAGCTATTAAAGCCAGAAATTTGAAAATGTAGTTGAGTCATTTTGACCAAATATGACTTAATCCTCATTTCGATATGATTGGTCACATATATGTGCTATTTAGATCAGTAAAATTATTATATTTCTGCCTTACTTGATGCCTTTGCTGTGATTTTTTTGGACACGGGGAAAGCCTTCTCTGTATTTACACTAATTTGCGGCTTTATTTATGGCTGGGGACAGGGCAGCTGTACTCCTAATGTAAATTAGGATGTATGAAAGTATGGTATGATGAAACATGCACGTTTTAAAAAAATCTTTTCGCATTTTAACAGGACGTGGAATCGTCTCAGTGCATGTTTATTGTTCATTTGTGAAAATCTATCTCATACTTTTTTATAGCACAACACTTGAGTGTATTGTTCTCAACCATTTTTAGAGTGCTGTGAAGTACACAATGTGCTTAAAGTTGTTGCATCATAGCTGTTAGGGTCGTTTTTATTTTCAGCCGAACCTCTTGGTAAAGAGCTGATTCATTTCTCGCTTCGAGGAGCCTGTTTTCTGTGTGTTAGCTGAGGCAGTTCCTTCAGATTTATTATTTAGCAGAGAAAAAATAAATAAATCAAATGCAGAAATCCACTTAAAATGGACTTTTCCTTTAATAAGAAAGGTATATTTTATAGAAGTTTTGCCACTAATTGCCACACAAACAAGCCGTTTTATTAAAAAAGCCACACGACTTGTGTGTTTTTGTGTTTCCAGGCTCGCAGTAAGCTGTCACTGATCCAGGACAATCAGAAGGAATTGAGCAGAACCATTGAGCAGTACAATAACGCTTTGAGTGAAATCAGCAGGGGGAACTTCAGCAACCTGCCGGACTTGAGTGAAGGCTTCGCTGAGAGGGAAAATGGAGGTTTCAGAACCACGGTGAGGAACACAACGTTCTCTCACACAACACAAACGCAACAATGGTTTAGTACCCAGAAACAACTTCTGTTTTTCTCAGATGGTGGTTCAGATAAGAAAATATTAGCTGCTTTAAAGAACAAAAAGGTCCGTTTATGGTTAACAACAGCTTTTTTCATCTTATATGACTCTAATTCTAATATTTAGCTTTTTTCTTATAAGCTGTCAAAATAAAGGATTATACAACATTTTGGAAACATACTGCAGTATTTGTCTGAAAGGGATTGTTTTTGTTTAGTTTTGTGACAGTTTTAAAACAAAAATTCATGTATTGTCTGATAAAATATTGTGCTGTCCTGACTTTTCAGATGTCTTTTCTTCTTTGTTGTTTTTATACAATGTTTTGTTGGTCTGTATTTTTGAATTTAGCCATTGTGCTTTTCTACTTATTAAGTATTTTGTCCACAAATTACACAAATGTAATTTCTGTGTATTTCAGCCTACATACAAAATATTTATATTCTCCTCACAGAGTTTCTTGGTGTATTGAAGTTGCAGATAATTGATATATTTTTGATTGAACAAACGTATTAATTGTGTTTTTTTTTCATCAGGATACCTCCTTCAAGTCAAGGATAGCCATGTTCAACAACAGCAGTGCTAAGGAGCCTTCGGCAGACCCTTTCCAGACAGAAGACCCCTTCAAGTCCAACCTCCTGAAAGGTTTGAAGACGTTTTTTGAATTATTATTCATTTGGGTGTCTGTGTGAGGACACAAACCATTTCATTTGTGTCAGCCTAAACGTCGGTCCTGTTTGCATTTGGTTTTACAAAAATGTTTTTGGAACATTCCCAAGGATGGCTGTTTTAATTATTGTACTGAGCCGCAGCTGAGGGCTGTCCGCTCTGCTGCTTGTGTGGGATCAGTTTAGTTGGAGGTCCTACACTGAGGGCTGATCCAGACCACCTCTGGAGGTGGTTTCAGTAAAAATGCTTATAATATACGTTGAGAGAATTCACACCTGGATTTAAGGATTTTAATCAAAAAGCTAAAAATGGAATGAAACAATGAATGTGAACATGGCCTGTTTCGTGTCTTCTAACACTAAATTTAATTAACTTTTTCGTTAAAGATGACGACCTTGTCTTTTATTTATTTATTTATTTTATTTATTTATTTTTTAACCCTAGATCCATTTGGAGAAGATCCTTTCAAAGAAAATGATCCCTTCAAAGGTACCTCATCTGATGATTTTTTTAAGATGACCGACAAGTCAAACTTGTTTGGATCTGCAGACCCTTTTGGGAGGAAACCCCCGCCTCCAGCCAAGGTACGAAACTCTTTTTTTTGCATGTATTTCGTATGGTAATGACTTCTTTTATATGGAAACTAGCTACAGGTAAACCAAAACTCTCTTGATAAAGTAAAAATCTTTAATGTCTCTGCTTATAGACACATTCTTTTTTACTTTTTGAGGTAAAATAAATTGTGTATGCGTTTTAAAACTCACTCATTAAATCAATACTTTATTTCCCCTCAGCCAAGATCTTTCAGCAGTGCGGACCGCTTCAAATCAAGCAGCCCAAAACCAGGTACTCAAGTTTTGAACAATTATTTAATTTGACTGCACAACTAACAATAAGCCTTACCCACACTCCACAGTAGTATTTGTGTAACATTTTGTTAAACGTTGCTGCTAAGACGTATTTCCTGTGAAGCTGTCTTTCCAGATCAAAGGTTGTATGTTTCCTGGAATCAGGGAGGGAAGGTGGGATGATGTTGCAGTAACGTACGCAGTTACACCATAACAGTTTGTCAAATAAAAGCTCAAACACATATTAACCCTGGAACTCACAAAAGCAGACTTTCCGTCCGTGTTTTTCCAGAATGTGACTCCATTAACGGGTTTCTAAAAACGAGCGGACTCTGTTTTGACGAAGCCCACCTCAAAGGGTCATTCTTAGCCGTTCTCAGTGACGTGCAGATTTACGTTTTATTTTGGGGATTGGGGACATCAAGGGCAAACCCTTTTTACTCTATGTGGCTTCAATTTTTCCTGTGGTCTTGGGTTATTTTTAGTCAAGCACCTTTGCATTTAACTACTGGCCAACTAAAAATACTCCCCCCACACTTACCCTGGAAAAACAGGCGGCACGCAGAAGCCAAACATAACAAACTGGTCGTTCACTTCTGGAGCACACTGCCACTCCTTTGAGCAGCTCACTCCTGCCTCTGTCCCCCTCTCTCCGTATCTGCTGCCACTGAACCGCTGAGCCCCGTTCGCAGCGGAAGTCGTTTTAAGTCGCCGCCTGATGATCTGCTCGTGCTTCAGCAGAACACAGGGTTCAACTGTAGACCTGAGCCGAGCTGCCGCAAAAACGTAAATCAAAACGCCGCGTGCTGCACATGAATGGGGTCTTCTGTGGTTGCGCGTGCGCAACAAACATTCTCCTACAATGTTTTGTTTTTTCACTCAAACCCTGCCTTTTTTTTTTCTCTCTAGTTTTATTTAATTTTATTAAGCGGCGAACCACACAGGCTTCAAAACAACCCGGGTACAGTTCTGGTGAACAGTGGGTCAACTGACGCCTTTAATTAGCTGATCAGATGCATACGTCAGGGCAAAAAAAAACTCTGCTTTACAGGTTTTTTGCAAAAATGTCATGGAAAATGAAACAATCATGCCACGTTCTCTACTCTGAAAATAGTGCCCAGGCCCCTTCAGAATAAGCAAAGCTCAGAGATAATTTTGACGTGTTTTTTTTTTTTTGAGGGGGTTAAACTTCATTACAATTCCTGGCTCTCTCCGTGCATGTATCTAAATGTTCCACATGTATTTCTGTGTACTTTTGTCACAGATTTATTAGGAAAAACGGACCCCTTTGGGAGCAGTTCCTTAGGAGGAAAGGGAGGTGGATTTGCTGACTTTAGTAAGATGTCAAAGGTAAGCTGTGAATGCTGGAGCAATAAATCAATCGTACCATAAAGCAGAATGGTTCAGTGAAACTGTCACGCTCTGTTGTAAATCGTACTTGCATGTTGCATGATTTCTATTTTTTTCTTTTCTCTCTCTCCAGTTTTGCAGCACTTGTAATTTTGTTAAACTTATTTTTTTTTATGTGAGCAGAAGTCCGATAATCCTGTGGTTCCAGCAAAGAAAAATGTGTCTAACCGGCCTGCACCCCCTTACGGTAATCCCTGACCTTTTTATATTTGCATGTGTCTGTAAACATCTAGTAACATGTAGCATTTTTGTAAGAAAATTTAGTGTTCGTTAAACTGGAATCGAGACGAAACCACAAAATATTGAATAGATTAAAACGTAAAAAGAATTGGAACCCTACAACCCAGATCTGGTTACGAGCGAAGCTTTATTGCTCCCGACTGGAGAAACCAAGCTGCGCTGCTTGAAACCGGAACTTTCGGTCCTTTTTATACGTGTCTTCGGTGCCTGGTGCGCCCACTACTGGCCTACGGCTGAATCGCAGACATTCAGACAAAAAACCTTTCCTATATGCCTCAACGGTTATTATTATGTGTTGTCATTTTGTTTCAGGCTTGTAGCTAATGCTATTTTTAATCAAGACATAACAATAGTCAAACAATAGATTAAGAATCAATACTTAAAAAGGAAAACTATGAATATAGTGTGGTGCTTCTAAATCAGTTTCTAACTAATAAATTCCTTCATTTTAATGGGTGTTCAGCTTGAGTGATTAGTTTTTAATTTTTAGAAAGTGTTTTAAGCCTTCATGTCACGCGTGGAAAAAAACAGCTTCCTCAATAAGCTTTGACATTGAAGAGATAGCAGATTTTTTTTTGATTTTGTAAACAGGAAAGCTGTTGGCAGAGATATGATGGCTCTATAGGTTCACAGCATGCTCGCCCCCTGTTGCTATTATTATGTTATTTATTTCGAACGTCTTCAGCCAGTAGCCGGTGCAAGTCGAGTTAAATTTGTCTGCTGTGGGAAGAAACCGAAAGCGTCTTTCTGTTGCTTTTCTGTGCCTTCAGCGTTGTGTTTATCTTGCTTTTTGTGTGCACGTAGAGTCACACAACACCTACAGGCCTTTCCCAGGCCATGCCCTTCCGTTGTGACCTTGCACTTATTCTTTAAGCAGAAGCCACAGCCTGAGAAAAACTGCTGTTCCCCTTTGCTTTACCACACACAACAGGGTAGAGATGAGTCGCCACAGTTTGCCAGCACACTTGCTCTAGCGATGTGCTTCATACGTAAAAGGGAAGTGAGAAGCTCACTCCTAAATTCATGAACTTTTGTAAATATCTGCATCAGTTGCACAACTAATCCCAGTCCTCTTAGGGGCTGTAATTTAGCTGTTTGTCTTCATTTGTGTTGCAGCAACATTTGTTTACAACTATGATGCTGGTTTGGTTTTGTAATGGAAGTTTAATTAGACCAGTGATGGGTAAACACCAAATGAGCCCTCTGAGTTTTAAAAGATAACTGTGAACATATTGGAAAAAAAATTTATTGGAAATGCAGTCACAGCTTACTGTATACATGGGTGTGTCTGTTTTTACAATCATATGTTCCAAAAAAGCAACACTGTGCATGTTGAAGCACCAATGCATCAGTGAGTTTTACTCAAAAATGTGGTTAACACCTTTTTTTTGAACCATTATCGCTCTCCCCTGAGTAACTACATGCTGAGAGCATGAAGCTGTTGGCTTCCTGTGAATATTTATTGGTACACAATTACCCACTCACCTTGCAAGTGTGAGTTGATTTTCCCAAGAGGGGGAGGAGAGGGTGAAGATAAAACATTGTGCTTATTTTTACGTTATTTTGTTGTATTTTTTAGCCCCATGGTGTTAATGTTTCTACATTTTAAATGTTTATCTTTTCTAATAGGTGCGCTCAGTTTGAGTGCATCAGAACCACTTCAGGGCGTTTGCTCCTCCGCAGTCAGTGCAGACTCTTTTGTTACAGCACACTCGAGTAAAGCATCCAAAGACTGTCCTGTGGGTTTTGCAGAGTTTGGCTCTGTAAGTGTAGTCCGCCCTCAGTTTTCTGTTGGGTCAGATATCTTTTGTCTGCATGAGCTGCTGATCTCACCGTTTCTCGGGCTCAGAGGTGCCGTCTTGTGTCTCTGGGCCTCGTTTACCTCGGACTTGGAGTGCTCGCAGCAAAGCTGTATTTACTGGCTGTTGACTAACAAATGAAACATGAGTTTCTTGACGTCTTGTAGAGTTTAGTGTTTGCATGTCCGACTCGGACAGTCCTGATATTTTATCTCATGACGTTGAATGTTTTGTTCATCCTTCGGGCAGATGGGCTTGCATGGCCGTCGTCATCTCGCACTTCAATTTATTATTTTTTAATGTGTGAGACAAGAAGTGTGGATTTATACACGTTTCATAAACTTGCCTGCTCAGGTAGCACTTTTGGAGCTTATTTTTTTCTAAGTCAAGAAATGCAAGCTAAAGGCTTATTTGCTGTCAAAGCACGACAAAGTAAACCTGCCTCTTTGTCCCCCATCTTCCGTTTTTCTTCACCTTGTGTAAGGCTAACGACCGAGCTTGCTCTCAGGTGGAGAGATGATGCATGGCTTTTTGTATATTTTGACATGACATGTATTTATTTTATCCCTCATGCCAGCATGATTGTTGTAAAAGGGATTTACGAGTTTTATATCAAGCTCTGTATTACACTTTTTGTGTTTCTGCCAGGAACTGAGAAAGTGAAGGTAAGAGCGTGTCAGGGTGTGGTGATCAATCCTCTGCATGTGAGCAGCTTCTTTGCGCTGAATTATCTGAATGATGTGATTGATGTGCAGTTATTGCTTATAAGTTTGCTCTGCTGCAGTGATTCAGTTTGGGGAAGCGTGAGCATATAGCTTTTGTATTAGCATAGAATTGCTATTTGTAAAAAAAGAAAATCTTTTAAGCTTTTAATTTAGCTTTTTTTTGCTTGTTGTGATCTGTAATTATCTTTGCATCATTTTTATTGTTTTTATTTTGCAGCTAATGATGTTAAACTGTATTTTTAGTCTACCTTTGTCCAATGTGTGTGCTATGCCAGTCTTTTTTTTTAATTTTCAAATCTAACATTAGTATTTATGCTGTAGTTTGGAAGTGAGAACCAGCAGCTGGAGTGGGCCAAGCGGGAGAGTGAACGTGAGGAGCAGGAGAGGCGGAGGAGGCTGCGGCTGCAGGAGCAGCAGGACCTGGAGCTCGCCATCGCTCTCAGCAAAGCCGACTTGTCCAAGTCTTGACCACGTCCACCTCCTGCACAGCTTTTTGTCCCCTTCTGTCTGCCTTACGCTCTTCCATCTGCACTGACTCCTCTTACTAACTAGTGTTTCTCCACTCGTCATTGGACTCATCAGTTTGATCAGGTGCATTGCATCTAAACTGTGTGTATTAACAGGGAGAATACAGAAACACTCGGGATAAGCTTGGCTTCACATAAAAATATAACGATATGAGTTCAGTGGGATACTTAACTGCAGCTTTATTTAGCTCAGTGTCTGGTTGGGAATAATTAACCTGTTTTTTTTTTTGTTTGTTTGTTTGTTTGTTTGTTTGTTTGTTTGTTTGTTTTTTTGTTAACCCCACTGAAAAGAACCCCAGCTAATAAGACTTTAGGTGGTGTCTCACTGAGCTGCGACTATTAGGATACAGTTGGTGACTCAAAATTGCGAGAAAACAAACTGCGTTCTTGGCAAAAAAAAAAGGTCACACAATTTTTGTTCAAAAGTCAAATCAATAAATGCAAAAGGCATACAAAATAAGAGCTTAAATGTTTTGTTTTCCACTTACAGGCAATAAAAATATGTTCATATAGTTCAGTTTCCCTCATGAAGAATATATAAAAATATCTCTGTCACAGTCTTATGTTTTAAGTTTCAACAAATGGACTCAAACTTCACCACTTTTTTCAGCCGTTCTTACTTAAAAAAATAGTTCAGAGGTACATCACAAATGAACTGTTTGGACTTGAAATGTCGCTGTTTTTGCACCAGCCCATGTCAAACTGTCCCTAGTTAAAGTGATGCCCCCTACACACACACACACACACACTTCAGCTTGTTGACTTTAAACAGCTGATTACAGGAGGTGGAGCTGCTCCACCAGTGTTGAAAGGGTGGAACACAAACAGCTTGGCTCTCATCTTCATTTTCGTTCATCTGTTCAGAGAAAGAGGTTGTTTTAAAGGTATTTTATTTTTTAATTGTTATCCAAAATGAGTTTTTTTTTTAAATAAGGGAGGAAAATTATTTAATATTATGAAAGAAAATCTTGAAGTATTTTAAGTTTTACATTCATACAGCCGGTGTTCGTTTGTTAAGCCACACAAGTCATCTTAGTTGGGGTTAAATGTGTTTCAGGGTATATATTAAAAACGCAATAAATCTGTAGTGTATGAAGTAAAACGGACTTGAAATCTGTTTCAAGGAACCATACGTAACTCCAAACAGGTTTTTTTTTTGAAAGCCAAATAATACCCGCCTATCTCTCCGTTGGTCTGTGCATGAGTTTCATTACCAGATGTTGAATAGAAGTTTTTGTCTGCTGAAAATAATAATTAATAGCCTTGCTTTCTTAAAGGACTGGATCTTAGTGATTATGTCATGACTTGGATTTTTATTTTAAGTGTTACAAGTGTTTCTAGTTATTTTTTTGCTTGCGTATTTGATATTTATGGCCTTTTGAAGTACACAAGTTGAAGCAATATTTGACGATAATCGAAGATGCTTGTAATAACTGAGGTATTCGTTTTCTAGAAAAACCTCTTTCCGTCAGATTTGTCAGGTAGTTTGATCAGTTGTTGGGACACTCGGATAGACGTGCACTCCCGTACAACTAAAAGCCTCGATAACATGGAAAAGTGTAAACCGTTTGTTTATGCTGGTGCTGTTACAGTTTAGAGTTGTCCTTTTTTTCTTTTTTCTACTTTTTTTTTCACACTACCAAAGATGAAGTTACATTTTTTTTCTTTTCCCACAATAACAAGATCATGCATTGGATGACTTTATATTTTTCTTGTAAATATGTTTTTCTCAAACCGGTTATTCATGGAGGAAATCTCTTGATCGCCTTAAAATAACGTCTTCTTTCTCCAACACTAATCAGGTCTATTTGGCACGTAATAAATGTTCTGTATTGTAGGACATGTACAGCCTGCCAGCGCCTTATCTTCTCAACATATCAGCAATGTAACACATAGTGTTTGTGTGTAACTATTACCAGAAAAAAAATGCTCTCACGTTTTGATTTCCTGTCATTTGGAAGAGCCTTTTTTGAATAAATAAGATTTTAACATTCCTGAAACATTTTTGTTTATTTTTTTTATTTTTAGGATGAAACAATCGGCGAGTTTAAATACAAAAGAGGAGCTTGTCTGTTTAAAACAGAGTATTTTGCGGTCTGACGAGCAGGAGCTCACATTGATCTATTGTGAGAAATGATCTGTTTTGCCCACTATAAATGTTCCAGCATATCAAAAACGTATGCATCGATATTGGAACTAAAAAAAAGTGAAATGAAAGTGATACATTTGCATCTTTCAGTGTAGATATTTTTAACATGGTATGCACTTCCTCTTTTTTTTTATATAAATAAATTTGTATTTGTAGATGGAAACTTTTCAGTTATACTCTTTTATTAATTGCAACAGGTAGATAAAAATTTTGGGAGGCTACAGGAACGACACGGTTTTTAATAAACCTGTGAAGATTTTTATCAAGCAGAGGGTTTTTATTCTGAAAGCAGTAATCATATTCTGAAATGTCATCTGGCTTTGATATTTGTGCTCAATGCAGTCTTTCATGCAGAATATACAAATGCTTGCTGACATCGCATGTGTATTATAAGCTTGGACTTGGATACTTTGAAACTGTAGCGTAGAGTGACTGTGTGTAATTGTAGTATTAAGGCTCTTTGATGTCTTGCTATAATTTCTACCCATCAGAAAGGGAGTCTAAGGGCTCCCTGATGAGGGTTTGCTGTGCCCCTCTGTCCAGACGGCTCCTGGCCTCACTCTGTAATTATGAAAATGGAGTGTTTGTATTTATAGGCTAAGCCCACAAGCGGCTACCCTTCTGTCTTGCATCTGCAAAACATCACTGTGGAAATCAAGTGTTTTTAAAAAGGCTTGCCTCCCAACGACTAGTTGAACTCTCTGTGACTGAGCTGCACCTATTTTCAAGCAGTTGTGAAACCCTTCGTTGAGTGGGTGGATGTGGTTAATCAAAACCTGTGAACGAAAAAAAAAAAACGAGCAAAACAATAAAGATGAGCCAAGTCAGGGAGTTCAAATTGGTTCTTTTTTTTAATATTTACAATAAATACACATTTTACAGTATAAAATCCTTGTACTCATATAAATTTAAGTAAAAAATAATGCACAGGACGTCAAGCCCTGATAGTGTACAGTGGGGCTGGATCCAAAAGTTTTACACCAAGAATTTTTAACAGTTCCACAAAGGAAAAAGGAAAAAAAAAGTTTCCAAAATGAGAAGGCAGTTCAGACACTGAGGCAGTTTAAATAAAACATTGTCTCTGCACTTGTTAGGCAACTGTATATGTGCATTTTACCCCTGTCAACAAGAACATTTAACTACATTTGCTTCCCTTTGGCCGTGTCGATCTGTCCCAAAGAAGTTTTACAGTAGCACAGTCATAGAAAGGCACTTTTGTGTCAAACACAGCATTCCAGTTCTGTCAGAGGAGAGTAGTATATACAGGGCCAGCCCCTTCTTGGTCTGCCTGCTCTTAAGCAAACAAAGCTTTTCTAAAGCTCTTTATACAACCAAAGTAGTACCAGCTACGTTATTAGAAAATAATAACACTAAAACTTTTTTTTTTTCAATTCAGCATATATATATAAAAAAGATTTGGCCACATGGAGAGCATTTTAAATAAAAAAATACAGTTGAGTCACAATACAAAATAATACAATCCCCTGTGAACCCAGAGTCTGTTGGTGAGCTCTTTCACATGTGTCTCTTCATGTGAAGTGCCAAATGGTCAGACCTGGAGAAGGCGCGCTCGCACAGGTGGCACTGGAACGGCCTGTGTCCGGTGTGTTTCCGGAAGTGACGGGTCAGCTCGTCGGAGCGGGCGAATTTCCATCCACAGCCCTCCCAGCTGCAGTGATAAGGCTTCTCACCTGCGAGGACAGAAGCAGAATTCATGAGTTTGTGAGTTAAAGAGGCGCAAGGGAGTGTGGAAACGCTGTGCGTAATTACGCACGGCAGCTGGGTTTATATATTTGTTTTTCCCCAGAAGCTGAAACTTACCGGTGTGAGTTCGGAGGTGCGCCTTCAGGTGGGAGCTCTTGGTGTAAGTTTTCCCGCAGCCAGCGAACGTGCAGGTGTGGGTCGCCGTGCGCTTGCGCGGCCAGGTGCGCCGGCCTCTCTTCGGCTTGGATTCCAGCAGCTCCAGGGGGGAGGAGGGTGGGGTGAGCATCACCCTCTGCGCGCCCGGCTGCAGGCTGAGCCCTTCGTCGTACATGCCGAAGCCGGGATGCGGGGCGTGGTAGGGCATCTGCATCTGGGGAGCCTGGGGGTGGTGCTGGAAGGCCGCCGGCGTGTGGTACTTGTGCTGGAAGTTCATGGGCTGACACAGCTGTGCCTGGCAGTCCGTGGCTCCCTGGTCGTCGGGGCTCAGCGGCGGGGTCATGTTGCTGGCTGCGCGCGGAGAGATGGCCACCCGCGGCTGCTCAAAGGACATCATGCACGACACGTTGCCCTCTTGCTTGATTTTGCTGCAGGTCTGGGGCACCATCCCCAAAACGGGGCCGTAACTGTCCATGCTCGGCTCCATTTTGATGTTGTCCGTGCGGGGGAAAGGCGCCGTGTTGACGTAGAACCGTCCCTGGATGCCCGGACCGCGCGTAACACCGAAGCTGCCGGTTCCTTCGGCGCGCAGGAGCTCGGTCATGAGGCTGGCGCCGTACGGGGGAGGCGGGGAGCGGTGGTCGTCTGTGGGGTACGAGGGCACGGAGTTCTCTGTGGTGAACATGCTGTGGTCTGCGTACTCCACCGCCGCGTCCGACCCAGTCGTGTTGGAGAGAATAAAATCCAGATCCAAATAATTACTCAGATCCTCGTCGTCCTTTCTGCTGTCCAGGTTTTGTACCATCTCAAGCATGGAGCAACTTGTTAGTTTGTCCATTTCTCCTTTCCACCTCTGTAGGAAGAAAAAAACATGGAGACATGAGACAATAATTCACTTTATTATAATAATTTGTCAACAAAAACACTTTACAAATACAACTAAAACAAACCGAATAATGCCCACACAAATCTGCAGAAATTATCTCCAACTTACGTTTTCCCAGGTTTTTTCTCTTTGGTTAGAGAATGTGGAAAATGAGGGCAGCATCACTTCTGATAAGGCCATCGATCGGTGAGATTGATTACAACTCAAACGTCTCGTCAAATAATAATGAAAAAAGTCTCGTTGAACCGAGAGAGTCCGTGCGCGCTTTGCTTCACGCTCGCCCCTCTCTCCACAGCTGCTGCTCTCTCCAAGCGCATGAACCAGTTTAAAAAGTGGTAGGAGGTCCTCCCGACCTTTTAACTCTCTGAGCCGAGTCGGCCTGGCCAATTGTGAGCGCTCAGGAAACAACGTAAAGTTCGGTAAATTTAGCTCTTTATAAAGCAAGACGCTGCAGGCAGCCGCGCTCAGTCCGCTGTGAAGAGGCAGCCGAGCTCAGAGCTGCCTATAAAAGAACAGGCCCTCCTCCCAACACAGCCCTAAGCCCCGCCCACAAATACTCCACACACACAAACACACACACACACACGCGCTGTATAGCAACCATAGATACTTACGTAACGCGCTTGAAAAGAACAAGTTTAATGACAGAAACTGCCAGAGGGCAAGCCGCACCAACAGGCTCTGTTCTGCTTGTAATCATTAAGGCTGCAGGGTGATCACTCATTACACTTTATTAAAGCACGAGGGAGACATAAAAAGAAACACTTGAAAAAAAACATTTAAGTGTGAGATTACACATGCCATAGAAACATTACATTATTATTATTATTATTATTATTATTATTATTATTATTATTATTATTATGTTGCAATCTAACTTCTGTGTATTTGTGCTTCTTCACCCATTTATAGCAAACCTTCAGCTCATCCTGATGGCTGTTAAGGCTTTTGCTTTTTGCAACATTTAAACTAAATAGCCTACTTGATTTACAAATATATTAAAAATCACATTAAGATATTTCTGTTCCATTAAATAGCTCCATGGTTCTGTTTCAAATTCTGCTTCAGCATATTTTTATGCTATACTTTTTTAACCAGATGCTTTAGCTTTTAGTGAGTTTCTTTTAACTTATTTCCCCTTTTACCGCTTTAATTTTAATTAAAGTAAAATTTTAATTAGCCTTTAGCTACTTTAGCTTTTATGTAGGGTTTTGTTGCTTTTCATTTGGACCATTATTTATCTACTTTCAGCTGTGAGATTACCCTTTGCTTCGTTGCTTTTAGCTTCTAGTTAGCATGTAGCTACTTTCACTTTCTTTGTGCTGCTATTAGCTTGTAATCGGCTACATTACTTTAGTGTCTAGTTAGCCTTATATTGCTCTTAGAGTTTTGCTACTTTTAAATTTACACCCTTTTCTTCTGCCAGGATGCCCTGGCCAAGATGGCGGCATAAACGTACACACACATCAAAAAACAATACAAACCAAAAAATAAATTAATTAATAAATTAAAAAAGCAATCATATTAAAGAATTCTGAGATGATTCAGAAAAACAGCAATCTTGCAGGTCCAGAACGCATCATATGGAGGATCTTGAACAGAAACCATCTTCTCACACGCGCATTTTCAAGATCCCCATAAAATGTGATGATCGTGAACCTTCATTTGCAACAAAGTTTATGGCAGCGTGACAAACTGTGTCCAGTTTATACCACCATAATCCAGCATTATCATAGTTTTATTGTTTACTTCCGAGCTAAATCTAAAAAAAAAAAAAAAAAAGTTGCAGACTTTTCAGTATCAGCGCTGCGCGGCTGCATCCACCTGCTTGGCGCGTCTCTCTGCTCGTTATCATTAATGGAAGCTTTTTTTTTTTTTTAAATTATTTTATTTATTTATTGTTCCCTTGCAGCGGGCTTGTTCAAACAGGCGCCAGGCTCGTCTCAGGACGCTTTTCAGAGTTTTTTTTTTTTTTTCACGCTCTGATCTCTCGTGATGTAAACATGATTTAAGGTAACATCCCATTCAGGTGTAAATCCCAGACGACGGGAGTCGGATTTACATGACAACAGTCTGCGGAGGAATCTGCTTTCTGACGCGGAGGAATCTGCTTTCTGACGCGGAGGAATCTGCTTTCTGACACGGAGAGCGTGAATTGTTTTAAGATGAAACCTCTTTGCTCTCTGTGTGTTTGTGCTAAAGTTTGTCTTGAAACCTGTGAGGCCAAACTCTTCACTTGACAACAAATTGTGAAAACATTAAAAAATATATATAAGCTCCAATGAAATATTTTAAACTAATTTTGCAGGTTTTTGTCTGTGCCTGTTAGCAAAATATCTCTTGAACCACTGAACGCATTTTATTGAAAGTTTCAAGGAGCACTTACTGGATGTATGCCTACAACTGATTAACTTTTGGAGTTAATCAGTTCAAGGGGGCCGACACAGCCTACTAAGTTTAGAAAATCCTCAAAAAGAACTATCTGTCAGTTTTATAGATGCTTTAAATTTGCTGTGGTAGTAGCTGAGAGTCATCACCAACACAAAATTGGAGCGCTGCACATTGCAAAAGAACTTTGAATTTAAACTTTATTTTTGCAACCACTTCTAAAGTCAAGCCAGTTTGTCTGTTAGCAAAATATCTTGTAAATCAATTGATGGATTTCAAAGAAGCTTTCAGGAAGTGATCACTGCATGTATGTCTACAAATTATTAACTTTTGGAGTTAATCTAATTTAACATTACTGCCGCAGCCTGTCAAAATTAGCAAACACAAAAATGGCTCTAACGCAGTCAGTTCTACAAACAATGAGATAAAACTTGGCGTGCTGGTAGCTGAGAGTCCTACTTTGAGCAGAACATCAGAATGCTTTGCCCACTTGCCCAGAACAGTATTTTAAAGGTCTGACTAAATTATTAATAAGAAGTGAAACTCTGGCATGAAAAGATTGAACAATGTGCATTCCTGTAATAATTGCCAGGCCTTTAAACATGAGTGCTCTTTAGGCTTTATCTTAAAATTTTGCAAGCAGTTTCACCGTTTTGTTTTTAGAAATCCTACGGTGTAGAAAAGTCATGTTCACTTGAGTTGTTGTGCAGCAGGTTACAGCTGCAGTAAAGAACAAAATAACTCAGAAACAGTTATGCTTATGCTTTTAATCCAAGACTCTTGTTGTCCTTTTCTTGTTTTGCAGCAGGTGAACTGCACAGACACTCATGTGATGGTTTAGTTCCATCATGTCCTCCATCATCAGTAACAACTGCCCGAGTGCAGCTGGGCGGTTCCCACATCCTAAAGCCTGAGCTGTTCAGTGGAAAAGTGCGTCACAGAGAGGGTCCAGTAAAGCTTGAGAGGAAATGTTTTTTTTTTTTTTTTGAGCAGCAGAGCAGCTGGCTTGATGTTTGAACCGTTGACCGCTGACACTGACCTCTGCTCCTTGCTGCAACCCTTCTCTGCTGCTACCAGTGAGAGTGAGATCACTCTCACTTCCCCTTTTTTGCACAGCTACCTTCACCACATTTTAATTTCTTCAAGATACAATTTAAGGAACTTTGTTCTTTGCAGAAATTGTAGTACTTGTTGTCATTTATAATTCTCTATAACCAATACCGAAGCACAGCATCGCTGCTTTTGACAAAATAAAAGCTTTGGTTTGAAGCAGATTTTTGACTTTTGTTCGTCATAAGAAAATATTAATCATAAGAAACGTGCAAATTAATGTTTGACATCTGAATACAGATAAATATTTTATTACAGCAGGTTTTGCTTTATGTGCGCAGCAGACCTTTTGAATTTTGTAGCTGACATTGATGAGAAACCTCTAACTTTCCAAGGTGGAGTTTTGACTTTATCAAACGTTTAAGTTGATTTTTTTTCAAATTGGAATACAATAAAACCCTCCGACTTTTTGCGTGCAACTAAAATTGAGTCAATGCCATGTGGTTTTGCTGCACTTTTTGTTGTGTGCCAGAGCGTGGATGGAAACAGAAATCTTGACCTTTTTAACCTCTTGTGATGCATCATGGAGTTGTACAGTAAGTGTAAAAATGTAAATAAAAAAAGAAGAGTACCATTCATGTACAGCAAAATCAGGCTACTTTGCTTAACAATTTAAAAACTATAAACCAATTTATATTTGAATATCAGACGTAAATCAGCCTAATAACAGATTTTAGAGGACAACTGCCAGAAAGCAGCAGCCTGAATTTTGGTGAAACAGCACACACAAAAAATAAAAAAGAAAGAAAGAAAAGGATATAACAAGAAAAGAAAAAAAAACATTTGGCTGGTCTAGTGGGGGCACTAAGTAATCCAAATGACGTGTTTATGAGACAGGTTTTTATTTCACTCTGAGCCGTCACCGTTTGTGAAAAAAAAAATGCTGCACGTACCCGATGAGATAATTTCACTCAGGCAGGCAGTCAGGACCTAAAGGGTGGAATGATATTCTGACCACAGCAGCCCAGAATGTTGTTTGTTGTTGTTTGTCAGAAAAGGTTGTGTGAAAAGGAATTCGTAAAAGATAAAAAAAAATGATTTCTGTAGAGAAAGGTCAGAAATGACAAACACCTTCCTGATGGAGGATTTCAGTGTCCTCCTCAGTCATGACTTTATTTCTTTTTTTGTTTAATCTCAAAGCAGGGGCCTCCAACTGGCGGGCCCACGTGGCTCTTCTAGAACCACCCTTTTTGTTGTGAATATTTAAATGCGAATGAGTAACGATTCCACTGAATCCTAGAGAAAATAGTTTCTGCAAATTGACATTTGCACAATCTCATTGGGCAAGCCCCAAGTGTCATTTCACAATTGTTTCTGCAGTCCTTTATTGCGGCTGCTTATCCGTACAGTTTACCAACTGCTTTTATTTAGGTTTATTTAGTAGATATTGCTGCCACCTGTCTGTGTTTTCACTTCCTGAACCAGCAGAACCCTAAGATATTAATCATTGGATAAAGAAACAACCGATTAACTTGAGTCAAGATGGCCACCAACTGACCTTAGAGAACACGCACTGTAAACTCAGTTAATAATAGATATTGAGTTATGATTTGGTGTGGATTGCTCTCTCCGGGTTGGGGGAGAAGTTCTGCCTGTATCTTGGGGTCATGTTTATGAGTGAGGGAAGAATGGAGCATGAGATTGATGGACGGATCGGTGCCGGTCTGTTGTGGTGAAGAGGGAGCTGAGCTGTAAGGCAAAGCTCTCTGTTTACCGATCAGTCTACGTTCCTACCCTCACCTATGGTCACGAACTTTGGGTAGTGACCGAAAGAACAAGATTGCGGATACAAGCGGTCGAAATGAGTTTCCTCCGCAGCGTGTCTGGGCTCTCCCTTAGGGACAGGGTAAGAAGTTCATTCATTCAGGAGAGACTCAGAGTAGAGCCGCTGCTCCTCCACATCGAAAGGAGCAAGTTGAGGTGGTTTGGGCATCTGGTAAGGATGCCTCCTGGACGCCTC